CTACACTTGCGCACACTAGCGCATCCACGAGGCAAGGTAGCCCATCACGCACCTTGGCAGACACATGTGGACTGCTTGAGCAGCCCGGCTAGCCTAAGGGTGTGTCTTGGGCAATTTTGCCTCGACTTGCGTGCACTTGCCTTGGGATTTTAATTCCTGATTTATGTGTGATAAAAATTAATTCTAAATTTCTTTTAGAACCAATTTAGAGCAAAATGAAAATAAAACAAGTCCAACTTAATTAAATTCAATTTCAAAAGTGCACAAGCCTAAATTATTCAAGAACCATATCAATTTAGGTCTATCTTGATGCTACAAAATTGAAGGGCTATACTCATAATTAATTTAACCATACATAAATTAATAATGAGATTTGACAAAATTAAAGAGGTTGAAAAAATAAACCCATTCATCTAATGAAAAATTTCCAACACTAACTTGTGTATAATTGAAAAATTACATCTTCCAATATGAAGATTAATTAAATTTCAATCACAAGTTTTGAACTTTTAGGATTTTAATTAACCTAAAAAATGATTAAATCCAAAAATTAGTTTAACATGGAATTTAAGCAATCAAAGTTTTAACCAATTAAACAATTAAAGATTGGATCTTTAACATATTAGGGACTTCACAATTACAAGTTCACCATAAACATTCACACTTGAAGCAATTTATTTGTAAAAATATGAAAATTTCAAGTTTATATGAAAAATTAACTCACCAAATTAAGCACCAATTATGACTTCATAAACATGCTTAATAAGGCTTATAATAACATTAGATTAGTGATGCAACCATACATTTAATCTATCTTTAACATGCCATAATTAATCAAGGTTTAAAGATTTAAAATTTTTCGTCAAAAACGAAAAGCCCCTCGAAAAACATGTTTCTGGGTGGATTTTGGCTTCTGGACAGCCCTCAAAGAGAATCAAAAACGATTTAGAACATCAATTCCACCCAAAAATCAATATTTTTAAGTCAAAATCTGGGTTCGTTTGCTAAAATTAGTAACATACAAGATTAAAACTAATTAAAACGAGATTCTAATCTAATTAGAAAGCAAAACCAGAATTTAAATCCATTTTAAATCACCTCAATTAATTATTAGTTACAATAATTAAAATGAGTGCGGCTCCGATACCGATGTTGGGTTTCGTAGCATCCAATGCTACGCGGAAGAGAAACCCACCCAAGACCCGCTCACTAATTAAAGTAACTAAACATTTAATCACATAATTAAACAACAAAAGAAAGAGAAAGGGAAATGACATTCTTACCCTCAACACGTGCTTTGCTCCTATAGAGCTTGGACTTCAAAGCCTTAGCTTTGCAAGCACGAGAGCCTCTGACAGAGTCCACCCTCGACACCCGACCCGAACGGCCTCTACCCCGAACGTTAGTCGGGGCTAGACCAAGAAAAGACAAGATTATTACGAACTTAAAGGTTTTCTCACCTATAGGGAGATGCCTTATTGAGTTCAACTCAAGTGGTTTTTCCCAAACCCAAAACTAGGGTATTTATAGGGAAAAGAGACTTGATCTCGCTTCTCCCCTCAATGTGGGAGAATTGCATTTTTCCACCAATTTATTTTAATCAAAAACCAATTAAAATGCAATGTAATCAACAAGCTCCAAGTGGCAAAGAGTGAGCAAGGGTAGGTGAGGACCACTAAAGGGGGGACAAAAAATCCCCTTGCTTCCCAAGAAAGGCCACCAAGCATCGGTCCCCACCAAAACTCAAGAGCAGCCCACACATAGCTGGCTGGTGCGGCATGGCAAGCATCGCTGGCGTGCTAGCATGCTAATGCCTCGCACACGGTAGCTCGCAAGCAAGCAGCAGCTAGCTGGGCGTAGCCTAGCACAAGCATCGCAACATCTAAACGCTGCCTAGCTCAAGCAACGCAGTAGTAGTTGCAGCAGCAACCCGCATTGGGTGCGTGTATGGGGGCTGGCTAGCAGGGCCAGCCATGGCGCTAGGCACGTGCAAGGTTGCCTTGGTCGCCAAGGCAAACTGCCAGCTAGCACATGGTTATTGGCTTGGTTTATTGAGAGCTTTCTTAGGGAGCAAGAGGTGAATGGTCCCCCCTTATGGTCCTCACCGAACCCCTTGCTCTCCACTTGACACTTGTTGTTTGTTGATTCATTTACATTTTAATTTGATTTTTGAATTAAATTAAATTGAAGTAAATTCCTTTTTACCAACTCTCCCACATTGATGGGAGATTGGAATTCAAGGGCTCGTTTCCCTATAAATACCAATCATTTGGCATTGGGAAAGGACACTTGAGTTGTGAACTTGAAAGGATCTCCACAAGTGAGAACACTTTCGTTCTAATACTCTAAGAACTTTTGGTCTAGCCCCGACTACGCTTAAGGGTAGGGGCCGTTCGGGTGGGGTCTCGAGGGTGAGAGCCGTTGGAGGCTTGTGCATTTGCAAGTTCTACAGTTTCAAGTATGAGCTCTAAGAAAAAGCGAAGCACGCATCAAGGGTATGATCGTCTTTTGTTCTTTATTTCTTTTTGTTAATTATGTGATTGTTAATTAATATGCATGTTTAGTACTTTAATTTGTGTGTGGATTTTGGGAGGGTTTCATTTCACGTAGTGTCGGACACTACAAAACCCAACATACTTTACATAATCCATTTATTAGTGTGATAATTCTCAGATCCTTCCTAGGACTTTTTCGTTTTTTGGACAATAAGTCGTGCTTTTCCAATTAGGTAACATTTTCTTTTTGGTTTGACCCCAATTTATATCATTATTTCAACCTAAATTTACATTATATTAATAATTTTTTATGTGTTGTCTCTCCAACTAAACTTATGCATGCACGCCAATCATTACCCCATTACTTGTCTATAAAAGATTAAATCATTTTTAAGAAAATGTATCATCTAACGGTTTGTTTAGACCAATGTTGTTAAAATCGCGATCCGGATCGTACGATCCAAAGATCCTTATATCATCCAACGACTTGGATCGTGCTTAAGATTGGATTTTCAAAGAATCGACTAAGGATCGTTAGAATCGTATAGGATCGGTGGGATCGCGATTCTATGTCGATTCCAACGATCCTACCCAAAAGCCTAACAATGTGTGTTTGGTCAGCCAAACAAACTATGGGCTGGCCCATTAATGTAAAAAACTAAAAACCCTTTTCCTACCCACCTTTTCCCATCCACTTTCAACCTCACTTTCACGACATTTAACATTATTCAACCCCATTTTCACCATTTTTGCTATTTTCACTTTGCACGACATTCATCTCCTACTCCAAATCTCCTATTTCACCATTATCATATTTAAGCACAAGCATAAACTTATCTTTTTGCTAAAAGCTTGCAAATAACTATCTGCAAATCGGTATGTCGTATGTTCCTAAAGTATATCCTAAATTATGAAATTTTCAATTTTTCTTTTTTTTGCTTGGTAATTTAGGGATTGTTTTTGGTAAATTTGCATGTTATTTGTTCGATTTTCTATTGCTATTCTATGTCAATATTTTGTTTAGACTTTAGATTTTGTATTGAATTCTTTTTTGTACTACCATTTGATTTAGGGATTTTCTAGTTTCTACTGCTATTTAATTTAGCCAATTTTGGGGTTTTTTAATTTCTACTGCGTACTGCTACTCAATTCTTTATTGTATCGAATTTTCCCTTTATTTTTGTAGGTTGGTATTATTTATGCGCCTCTGTTTAATTGATCCTTCGAGTTATGTCAGCCACTGCAAGCTCTATTAAAAAGAAAAGAAAAAATTCTCCTGGTAATAGAACTGACCCAGGCTGGGAACATGGTACTGAGGTAGATAGTGAAAGTAAGAAAGTAAGATGCAAATATTGTGGTGTTGTGCGTGCTGGTGGTGTTTATAGGCTTAAACATCACCTTGTTGGGACTGGTTGTAATGTTGAGAGATGTTTGCAAGTTTCGGATGATGTGAAACATAAATTTAGAAACCTGTTACAAGCTAATGCAGAACAATCTAGTAGAAAAAAGAAAAAATTTAATGATATAGGTGAGGATGATGATACTTATGAATATCAACAAAGTATTAATTTGAACAAGAGGGGGGGAATGGATGCTTTTGTGAGTAGAAAAAAACCTGGAGTTCAAACAACACTTAATCAGAAATATAAAAAGGAAGAAAGAGAAGAAGTTTGTCAATAAATAGCTCGTTTTTTTTACACTAGTGCAATTCCATTCAATGCCGTTAACAATCCTGAATTTCCTATCATGGTTGAAAAAATTGCAAAGTATGGGATTGGACTTAAACCACCAAGCTATCATGAAATATGGGTGAGATTTTTGAGTAAAGAAGTGAAAAATGTAGTGACCATGCTTGAGGAGTTCAAAGAAGAATGGAAAAAAACAGGTTGCACCATTATGTCAGATGGATGGAGTGATAGAATAAGACGCTCTATTTGTAATTTCTCAGTGAATAGCCCTAAGGGGTCTGTGTTCTTAGTTTCAATTGATACATTTGAGATCTCTAAAACAGCTGACAAAGTTCTTGAAATGTTAGATGCGGTTGTAGAAAAGGTTGGTGAAGAGAATGTTGTGCAAGTTGTCACAGATAATGCTGCAAACTACAAAGCTGCTGGAGAAAAATTGATGGAGAAAAGGACTAAATTATTTTGGACGCCATGTGCTGCTAACTGTAATGATATAATGCTTGAGAATTTTGATAAGAAGATTAAGGTCCATAGTGTTACCATCGGTAAGGATAGGAAGATAACAACTTACATATACTCTAGAACCATACTCCTCACTTGGATGAAAGAGTTTACCAAAGATGGAGAGCTTAAGGTCCATAATGTCACGCGATTTGCTACATCTTACCTGACATTGAAGTGCTTAAATGAGCATAAAGGATCATTACTTGCTTTGCTTTCATCTAATAAATGGATATCAAGTAAGTTTTCTAAATCTGCTGAAGGGAAAAAAGTTCAGAGAATTGTCTTGGATACCAGGGGATTTTGACAGAGTGTTATAATGTGTTTGAAAGCTGTATTGCCACTTGTAAAATTTCTACGAATGGTGGATTCCGATGAGAACCCAGCTATGGGATTTATCTATGAATTGATGGCCCAAGCTAAAAACCAAATCAAGGAAAATTTTAACAATGTTGAAAGAAAGTAAGCTGTTAAGTTTCTTATAATTCATTTTGTTTTATGTTGTTACATGTTACTTGTTACTTTGTTAGTGACTAATTTTAAATATATACTTGCGTATAATTTTTTTATTTTTTTTTATAATGTAGCTACAAACCAATCTTAGATATTGTTGATGAGCGTTGGGAGAATCAACTTCATAAGCCCCTCCATGCAGCAGCTTATTTTTTAAATCCACAATTTCAATATAAGCCTGATTTTCAAGCCAATGCTGACATTAAAATAGGCTTATATAATTGTCTGCAAAGAATGGTTTCTGATCCGGACGAAAGAATGATGATTGATTTACAAATGGATGCCTTTAAAAATGCCAGAGGGCTTTTTGGGTTGCCTACTGCTGTGATGAGAAGAACAAAAAAAAACTCCAGGTTTGTATTTTTAGGTATAAAATTACATATTATTTTTATTACATTCCTAACATACTATTCTGATTTCTGAATGTGCCTTAATTCATGAAGCTGACTGGTGGGATTCATATGGGGATGAATGTCCAGAGCTTAAAAACTTTTCCATAAGAATTTTAAGCCTCACTTGTAGTTCCTCGGGCTGTGAACGAAATTGGAGTGCATTTGAAATGGTAAAATACTGTTGAATTTTTTGGTACTTTATATCATACAATTTTGGGTAATTTGATGTCTTCTAAATTTTTTATTTATATGTAATTTAAACAGGTTCATACAAAGAAAGGAAATCGATTGCATCAACAAAAAATGAACGATTTGGTTTTTGTGATGTATAATTTGAAATTAAAGCGAAGGCATGAGAAACGAGCAAGCAAGCCAATCACACAACCAATAGTTTTGGAAGAGTTGCCGTCTGATGATGAGTGGATAGCAGAGGTAGAAGAACCTGTTCTTCCAACAAATGCTGCATTGTTCACTAATCTTGATAGAGCAGCTAGGAGATTTGCTAGAAAAGCTACAAGAAATGGAGATGGAATTCATGAAGACCATGATGGTGAGCAACTGAGCATAATCTTTTTAGTTTCCTTTTCATTCAATTTTCAGTACTTATAAAATCTTATCTTCCCCTCTTTCACCTTTTAAATTATTTTTGCCACATATTGTGTAGATGAAATCGATGAAGTAACAAATTTGAGCGACAATGATGATGAAAATCATGAGATTGCAGCAACTTATATAGGCTCAAATGATTTTAATGATGATGATGATTTCGATGATGTCAACAACTTTGAAAATGAGCCAGCTAGTACAGGAGGAACTGATGTTAGAAGTGATGATGTTGATTATGGCAATTTGAGTTTTGGATATGGTGATTGATGAATATATTTTAATTAAAACTAAGATCTAAGTGTTTTGTAATTAAAACTATTTTATGTCATTATGTGCATTATTTTGTCATTGAACTCATAAGTCATAACTATTGCCTTGTTCTCAAGATTCTTATGCATAAATTTATTGAGAAAAATGTCGATATATTAGCTATAATTAGCTTTTTAATGAAGTATCGCCTTTTTAATGAGTAAATCACCAAATATTTGCATTATTAGTCTTTTTTTTACAAAAAATATGATCCCACAACAATTTTATACATGTACTATGTCTTAAAATTGAAAATTGATAGGATCGTACGATCCCACAATCCGATCCTATGATTCGATCCTGATAGGCCTTTTCGATCCAAAGTAGAATCCCGATCCTGATAACGTTGGTTTAGACTATTGTTGGTATTCCTATATCACAAACTTAAACATGGAAAACAAACATCTAGACTTATATATTAATTATTCAATGCCATAGAAAAGAGGCTTAGGATTATCGAGACTTATATGAAAGACATACTATTTTGACAACTCTACAATATAATATCATACAACTTAGTAATTATAATTCAATTAATAATCTAATTAAGGTATGAAAGTTGATTATTAATTACTAATGGCTCTTATTAAATACTTAACAATAGTAAAGAAAGCTGAAAGAAAGAAAGGACCTGCAAATAATGCATTTGCGAGGGAGACCTCAAAAATCACTACCCAAGGTATACTAGTAATACTGGCTAGTCGAGTTTACCCACTTTTGTTCACTATCAACACCAATCAAGCCTTTTAGTGGTCACTTTTAAGCACTATGGTAGTACGTTTTTGTTGGTAATATTGATTTCTAATTAATTTTTTCTATAAATTAACTAATATAATCAAAGAAACATGATTACACATTGTTTGATCGACTCGAAAAAGTCAGGTATTTCTCCAAACTTGATCTTCGCTCGAGGTTTTGGCAGGTGCGCATTGCCAAGGGCGATGAGCCTAAGACAACATGCGTCATCATATGAATTCTTAGAGATGCCTTTTGGCCTCACCAATGCCCCGACAACCTTTTGTACTTCGATGAACAAGATTTTCAAGCCCTTTTCTCGATGATTTTGTAGTCGTCTATCTCAACGATATCGTCGTCACGTAGTGTATACAAACAACTTGTAGGATCATGTGAAACATTTGAAAAAGGTGTTCTAGGATTTAAAGGAGAACTAGTTGTATGTGAAAAAGGAGGAATGCTTGTTCAGACAAGAGGAGGTGTCTTTCTTGGGGCACCGAATCAAAGCCGAAAAAATCATGAAAGAACATGACAAGGTGAGTTCCATCAAAGAGTGGGGTGAGCCTAAGAATGTCTTGGAGCTACGTTCTTTCCTTGGGCTCGCAAACTATTATCGGAGGTTCAGTAAGAGTTATTTAGCAAGGGTCGCACCATTAACTAATATTTAGAAGAAGGTGTAGTGTCTTGAAGCGACAAATGTCAATGCAAGAGGACTAGATGATTTGAAGCGTGTAGTCACTAAAGAGCCCGTCTTGGCCTCACCTTATTATTCAAAGTTATTCAAGTTGCACACGTATGCCTTTGACAAGCTTGCAAAGGGGTGGCATGAGTAACTAGACATCACGAAGGCATACTTACACAAAGCCACCAAGAAGATGAAGAAGTGGGCAGACAAACATAGACACCCGTTGGAGTTCGAGGGAGGCGACTTAGTCATGGTGAAGTTGTTGCCCTAATTGTTATTTGGATGATATACTACAAGAGTGGGGTGAATTGTAGTATGTTCCTAGTGCCTAATTTTTGAGGAATATAAAACTGATTGCTGTTAGGAACTTAGACATGAAAAGCGAATTTGTCGAGGAAACCATCCAGGGCCTAATTGGAAGTAAAACCTCAACCCTCTAAGAGATTTAAAACCAAACCAATCCACTATAATAGGCCAAACAATCCTAGTTACAACCTATTACAAACAGACCTTTCTCACAAGTTTATGACTGAACTTGCTACTCGATAGGACCCTACCCTACCCAACCTAAGTCCCGGACATAGATTCCACACTGCACTCCCAGAGTGCCACTCACTCGGCTTCTCACCAGAAGCTCGCTCGACTTCACACTAGAAGCTCACACTTTGCACTCATACAATTATGATAACGAGAATCCTCACGAACTCTAACACCCCAATACACATAACACTCAAAATCATTTTTCTATTACACGATCTCAAAGAATAACTCTAAATACACATATATATGAATTAAGAGATAAAACTAATATGCTGGACGCTCAAGATCTATTTGGAACTGAATGGACGAACTGAAACCAAACTCTGATCGGAACGTTGACCAAGACTTCTGACTTAGCTTCGTGGTGAAGGATGAAACCATTAAGCACGACCACTGCACTTTGTCATCCTTAACTTTGAATGATTACATATGAGCGTATTTAGTACACCCAAATAATTCTTTTTGTAAAAGATAAGTTTTATCAAAAGATATGTTTAAAAGTTAATTTCTAAAAATAAGTTTTCACAATATATATCTTTTTGTTAAGAATACATTCTGTTAATGATAAAAAAATATACTTACCATAAAATCAGATTTTATTTAAAACTTATCTTTTAGTTAAAATACTTTCCAAACAAACTTATCTTTTTCCAAAAGGGATTTATTAGAAAATAAATATCTCTATTCAGTAAGACTAAATCCCCAAAAGATATGCATGTATTAGGTAAATATGTATATCATTAAAACCGACTTTTAAAGACGCGCAGACTTAAGTTCTTATTAGGTTCGGGAACTCTGACAATCTCTGAGTTCCTTACAAGTGAGTAACTCTAATTTCATTAACTGTCTGGAGTTCACCTTGGTTCTTTAGACTTGTTCCAGACTGACTTTTATGTCCAACATACTTTCATGAATCCTAGAGCGATATACTTCTGTTTCTTGGTCTTCATGTTGCTTCTCTGAAACTCTTGTTCTGGAATCTGTAGTTTGATGTATTCTGAATCTTGGGGCAACGTTTCACTTTGGAACTGCAGGCCAAGTTCCTAACTAGAACTTACTGTCAATCTTCTTCATTCCTTGCTAGAACTCGCAGAACAAGTTCATCTAGAACTTGTTGTCATCTTCGCCGTCTAAGCTTCACTCTTTAGCTTGCTATCACGCTTTTGTTAGGAAGCTCCTTGTGTGTAACTGTTAGGAAACACCCCATGTACCTATTAGGGAACATGCTCCGACTCTCGTGGGAAAGCCTGTCGAAGGTTCCTTCTAGATCTCGTTGGAGAATACCTTCAGGTTCCTTCGTTGTTTGGTTCTCGTGAGAGAACCCGCTTTAGGTTCATTCATTCTCTCTTGTTTCTCTTGAAGTCTTCTATGTTCCTACCCATTGACTTGACCTAAGTAAGTTCTTGTCTTCACATAAACACTTAAGAGAACATTAGATTGAAGTTTGTTTGTCATAAACAAACTTCAAGTGAGAGAACTAATTAAACTTAAAGCCTATGTAAATACTCCTACACATATACGACTCATGTATGCATAGGATACTTACCTCATGAAGCTAACATATGCAAACACCTATTTACATAGTTACCTTCATGGTTCCTTCGCCATCATCATGCTTATCAACCATAACTCATCATTGTTCTTGTTCCTTCTATTTCTTATTATATATTGCTCAAGTTCCTTATATATATATACTTGTCAGTGCTCGGGTTCCTTATATCTTGTTCCAAGCATAACTTGTTCTTTCTATGCACAACTTAACAAACACGTTAGATAGATAATCATCATTAGTTTACAATCATCAAATCCTAATTACTCAACAATTTCCCACTTTTTGATGATGACAAAATAATGATGCTTATCACACATTAAAGGACAAATCGTTGCACATTTATTCCCCCTTAGTTTTTCACGGAAATAACATTAGGACAAGGTAGGAACATACAAAGGAACTTCACTTAGTCAGGAACTAGCAATACACATCATAATCAATATATATACTATCAAAGATCATGATGTAAAAGAACTTTAGACTTACCTACTGCATACCATAAGCATCATACATATTCTTCCCCCTTTTGTCATTATCAAAAAGGGTATTGTTTCACACGTTTGTTTTCTGTAAAATACACACACATAAAGTTATATATCACACCTACCACCATATAATAAGTAGTCTGAAACACTTGTTGTTCCTACAAGCCTCAACGTACTCACTTTTCAAACATGGATACCATTTCCACTCTAATTTCCAACTCACAATCTAAAGGCCCAACTTCAAAACCCTTAATTGAACTAGACAAATAAGAAGTTAAAAATCAAATAAAGATCAGAGCTACAAGTTAGAAATGGATTGCATGAATAGGCAAATGAAAGCGCAAGCTCAAAGGATATATAACGAAGCATATGGAAAAAAATGAGTAGAGGGAACATGAAGTAGAAATTGTGCTCTTCATCTAGACCTTTTAAGATGAGGTTCACTACATTTGTTCTTCATTTCATACTCTTGGACCTCCTGCTAAACACAACACATTTTCATCTTGCTAATTGCTTACCAAGTTCCCTTACTACAACCACCAATTTCTTTGAGGAACATTTTGCTCACTAGAACTTAAATAGATTTTAGCATCATAGTCAAGTTCCTTCAACGTTTATTGTTGTTCTTTCACAAGCTTACCAGGTGTACGAGTACACGACATCAAAACAGGAAATATTCTTCATATATAATATTTAGGAAATTAAATATTTGATCACCCTTTTTTCTTTTTTTTCTTTTTTTTTTAAATTTTTTTTCTTTTTTTCATTTTTTTATTTATTTTTTTCTTCTTCTTCAAAGGGTGTCATTACACAGATTATGCATTCCTAGAATAAGACATTTGTAATCAATGAAGATAATACTTACCATACACTTGAGTTCCACAACTAGATATGAATTGAACCATCTTAATTTCTTAGTTCCTACCTTATTCCCCCTGAGTTCCTTTCCTGTCTTAAACATTTTGAGAATGCTTACTTCTTACTTTTTCTTTAACTTCCCCTTCAACATGTAATCACCATTCTTCACGTTTCATCGCACCATAAAAAGATGATGAATAAACTTAGAGCACATGGAAAGTGAGAATAAGAAGTATGAATACATGAAAAGAAAAGGAATTAGGGTGGATAAGAGTCTTTGATTGTATGGTGTTTAGGGTAAAAATTACCCTAGACATGTGGCCCAATTGCCTTGCGACACGTGGCAGCCAACCATAGGTCAACAGGGCGCCAATCCCCTGTTGACACGTGTCCTTTGAACCCTAGATGGGGTACTGGTCTCCCCACTATAAATAGTGGGTCAGACCTCATTTATGGGCATTCATAAATGATTCAGAAATAGCCATAAATACAAACACCAATCCCGAGCAATATAAATTGCAGAATCCTCCTGTATTAGCGAGGAGTAATTACTATTTCCGTACACTTACCTCTTATACGTTACTGACTTGATCGTCGGAAGCGGAGCTCCCATCAACAGGAGTCTTCGTGGTTTTGAAGGTACAGGCGTCGGTGGCACATACTAGGAATTATAACTCTCCCGCAGGACACTTCAAAAAACCACGAAACATTTGGCGCCGTCTGTGGGGAGAGTATTTTCTAGATGGCTTCTGAAACTATACCAACGAATGAAGGAAAACGGCCTACGGTCGAGCTTGAGGTCCATACGGACTAAGAAAGCTGTGACGATTACGAAATCGACACCTATGTGGCCCCAAATGGGTCCTTCAGAACAAAACACGTCCGCTCCAAAGAAATAAAGGAGCAGGGTAAAAGTTAGGCTCCTCCAGGCAGCCCAAACGGCAGACCGACTAGGACAACCCAAGCGGCAGAAGGTACCGCTCCCGTCACGAGAGACAACTCATGAAATTCATGACAAGGTTCAAGGGCGAGATCAAGACCCTTCTAAACAAGTCCAATGGCCCTCACAATGATCAGAAGGCAAAGAAACCTTCCTCTAGGAAGAAGCAACTCAAGGACTGTGTGCCTACCCCTCACCCGAAACCAAAGGTGGCGGATGGGTCCACGATTGACGTCTCAAAGCTGCGTTTCCCTAAGACAGGGCAACGGAAGCCCATCCGACAAGTACAGCCGGATGGATCCAAGAAGACTTACTCTGATGCCCGGTTACTTATCCAGGGTAAGAGAAGTCTGCAGCTGTCCACGTCGGCTCAACGTCGACCTACCCAGACAGCTTCCGAAATGCTTCCATAAAGCATTCGGAATCAAGCGAAGGAACTCAGTCGTGCGGTCCGTCCACACGCTCTGGTCCCAAAATTATCCAGCCGATACAGTATGGGACCGTACATGCCGTATGGATCTCCATACATGCAGCCGGCCCTCTTTGGGGGTCAGGCGGCACAACCGGTCCAGCCTATGGACTGGCAGCTCCGACTGCTTAACCTTGGGGGACAGCCAACGATATTCTCTAGGAAAATCACCGAGGCGGCACAGCCGGCCAAGGTGAAAAACGTGTTGGTCGGGGCCTATGACGGTACCGCTAACCCAGAGGATCACCTAATGGCGTACACCAACATCATGTACTTACAGGGGTTGGATGATGCCGCCTGGTGCCCCTGTTTCCCGGCTACATTGAAGGGCATTGCCCGACGATGGTTTGGCAACCTGCCAGCCAAATGCATCAACAACTTCAGAACTTTGGCGTACCTGTTTACGTCAAACTTCTCAATGAACATCCCTGCCAAGAAAACAAGCCTCGATTTTGGAGACATACAGTAGGGAGAGAAGGAAGGACTTAGGTCCTACGTCAGGCGGTTCAATCCGATGAGAATTCAGATACAAGGGTTGTCTGACGATGTTGCCTACATAGACTTCTTTAAGGGTCTGAAAGACGGGTCAACCTTCAAGTTCGACCTGGTAAGAAAAAGGGTTGCCACCCTTCAAGAGGCACTAATGGAAGCTGAAGCCTATATACAGGCGACAAATCTTTGTGCTGTGAGGCACTCGTTTGACCCCAAAAAGTTCGAACGGAGAAAGAGCCGGCCATCCCAGCCGGCAAATAAAGAAGAAAAGAAAATAAAAGAAGTCTGGGCGGCAGATCGATCTGGTCTGCCGGCCTAGAAAAGCAGACGAAAATCAGAACCGTACGTTCCAAAGTACGAGTTCACCAAGGACTGCTCCTCCATCTTCATGGAGATCAAAGACCGGTTGTCTATTGAAAAATCGGCAGCAATGAAAAGCCCTGTCAGCAGCCGAGACAAGAGCAAATATTGCCAATTCCATGAAGATGTTGGCCATGACACCAATGGTTGTTGTAGCCTCAGGCGGCTGTTGGACCGTCTAGCTGAGGAGGGGGCTCTGAAGTCCTACTTTCCTAAGTCTAAGGGTGCCCCCAAGACAAACAAGGGACACCCATCCAAATCAATTGCTGCTAACTCTGAAACAGACGAGGAAACAGTCTTTACTATAGCAAGCGGTTTTGCTGGTGGGGGTCCTACCATTCGGGGTGCCAAGGACAATATCAGGAAACTGGTCAATTCAGTAGATGAGGGCCAGACGTCGAAAGATACCTTTCCTGAGGTCCTTATTTCTAAAAAGAACCGAGGCCAGGTCAGACGACCTCACGATGACCCCATCGTCATCGAATGCAAGGTTGCCAACCAACGAGTTCGTCTGACCTGATAAGCTACCAGTGCTTGAAAAAGCTCAAGTACAAGCCAAGCAACATGCAAGAGGCTTCTCACCCCTTAGTCGGTTTTGGGGGAGGAGTAGTGCATCCGGTGGAAAGGATTGACCTACCCATCCGGCTGGGTGAGAAGGGGCAAGGGCGACACATGGTCGTCAAGTTCCTTGTTGTTGAGGAGCTGACCGCCTATAATATGATTTCTGGTCGCCCCACCCTCAACGAGTCAAAGGCTGTCATCATCACGTCTCTCATGCTGATCAAATTTCAGAAGGATGATAGGATAGTCGGTGCCCTAAATGGGGACCAAAAGACGGCTAGAGAGTGTTATCTCTCAGACGTCAAACCAACTATGGCTTCAGCCGGTCATGGCGAAGAGCCCATAGAATTGGATAACTATGAGCATGCAATGTCAGCTCTAAGGGTAGCCGGTAAAAAAGAAAGGCGGACCAATTGGCACCTGTCAAAAAAGAAAAAGAATAGCAATTACTGACCGGCGAACGGTCAGATGATCTTTGACCCCAGCCGGCTGGTGAGAGCATTGATGTCATCCTAGACGACAGCCGGCCCGACAGAACCGTTAAGGTTAGGACGGTTGCTTTTGAGAAATTAGGGGCAGACTTGCTCTAATTGCTTAGAGAGTTCAAAGACATCTTTGCCTTTGAAGTGGAAGAGATGCCAGGCGTCAGCCCAGATCTTGCTGTCCACAAACTCGTCGTTGATCCAAAAAAGAAGCCGGTTAGGCAAAAGAAGAGGAATCACGAAGTGGAAAGATCTCAGGCGGCAGCCGCTGAGGTCAAAAAGCTGCTCGGCAATGCGGCTACCCGGATTGGGTAGCAAAAGTTGTCCTTATGAAAAAGTTGAATGGCACCTGGCGGATGTGTGTAGACTACACAGATCTTAACAGGGCATGTCCGAAGGATAGTTATCCGCTTCCAAAGATCGACAACTTAGTCGACTCTACAGCCGGTCATGCTCTGATGAGCTTCAGGGACGCCTACTCAGGCTTCCATCAGATTCCCCTATGGAAGAAGGATCAGGAGAAGACGGCTTTCGTCACTGATCAGGGGTTATATTGTTACACGGTGATGCCGTTTGGGTTGAAAAATGCGCCTGCAACTTTCCAACGAATGATTAACATAGTTTTCATCAATCAAATCGGAAGGAAGGTAGAGGCATATATTGATGACATGATAGTCAAATCCAAGCTACAAACGAATTACCTGGCTGACCTCCGAGAAACCTTCACCACCCTCAAGCGGCAAAAGGTCATGCTTAACCCCAAGAAGTGTGTCTACGGTGTTGAGTCTGGGAAGTTTCTCGGATTTCTAATTAATCAAAGAGGCATACAGGCTAATCTGGAAAAAGTACAGGCGGTTATTGACATGCAGTCACCCCGCACTATAAAGGAAGTCCAGAAACTTACTGGTTGCCTGGCGGCATTGGGGAGGTTCCTCAGCCGGTCAGGCGACAAATGCCTCTACTTCTTCCAAGCAATCAGGAAGAGGTCAAGATTCGAGTGGGGTGAAGAGGCTGAGGCGGCATTTCAGAGGCTAAAGCAACATCTGCACTCTTTGCCCCAGGAGGTTCTCTACATGTACTTAGCCGTCTCAGATCACTCCCTTAGTGTTGTTCTTCTCACTGAGAGAGACGGCAATCAGCTCCCGGTGTATTTCATCAGCCATGTTCTCAGAAACGTTTAACTCCGATACCCAATGATTGAAAAATTTGAGCTGGCTCTTTACAAAGAAGTCAAAGCCCTACTTTTTGGCACATCCGGTGATTATGTATACTAATCAGCCACTCAACGGCCAATGACTACAATAGAGTCATCCGGTAGAATGATCAAATGGGCTGTTGAAATACAGAGCCTGGAAATAACTTTCGAACCCAGGCGAGCGGTGAAAGGTCAGGCGTTTGGCGACTTCATTGTCGAAATGACAAGACCGGTGCAGCCGACAAATCTGGATCAGGTTTGGAAGTTATTTATAGACGGAAGCTCCACTATGATCGGCTGTGGTGCAAGCGTAATCTGTCATTCTCTGGAAGGGGATAAATATGAATATGCACTACGGTTTAAGTATCAAGCCTCAAACAATGAGGCGGAGTATGAGGCCCTGCTGGCTGGTATACGCATGTGCAAGGCGGCAGGGGCCAGAAAAGTTGATGTCTGCTCTGATTCTCAATTGATCGTTAGCCACGGACTTAACAGCCATTCACAGTCTTGTTCCCTTTGCAAAATGGGGCATGATCATTCTGGGACCATACAAGCCTGCTTCAGGCAGTCGTCGCTACATCTTGGTTGCTGTGGATTACTTCACCAAATGGGTTGAAGAAGAGGCGGTCAAAGGCATAAAGACTAAGGATGTGATTTTCTTCAATTGGGGAAATATAGTCGCCCGGTTTGGGGTTCCCATGTCCATGGTCTTTGATAATGGCCCCTAGTTCGAAACGCCTGTCCTCAAGAGCTAGTTGGGAGATCAAGGGATCTCACATCATTTTGCATCTGTTGGTCGGCCTCAGGCAAACAGTCAAGTTGAAGCCTTCAACAAACTCATCTCAAACGGCATAAAAAAGAAAGTTGAGAGAGCTGGCGGTCTTAGGGCGGATGAGTTACCTCATGTCCTTTGGGCCATCAGAACAATTGAAAAGGGGGCAACCGGTGAAATCCTGTTTCTCATGACATACGGCACCGAAGTCGTCCTACCCATTGAACTTTAAGAGCAAACACTCTGAGTCATGCTCTATGATGAGGAGGCTAATTGGGAGGCCATGCGTCTAGCAATGGATTCGCTCCCTGAACGCAAGGGCAACGCCGCCTTGCGTCATGAGATCTACCGTCTGAGAATGACGAGGGCTTACAACAAAAGAGTACACAAACGGCCCCTCAAAGTGGGGGACTTTGTGCTACGAAAAATGGAGGCAACTGGTAGGGCGAATGAGCAAGGGAAGCTAATTCCTAATTGGGAAGGCCCCTACCAGATTTTTAAAGAAGTTAGAAGCGGCACCTACCGCCTGGAGACCCCAGACGGTAGGAAGCTAGCCAGAACTTGGAAGGTAGACAACTTGAAAAAGTGCTACTTCTGAAAATTTAAAACTTTTGTAAATAGAGTGTATTAATGAGAATGCTTTATTTCCAAATTTTCCTTTTCTGCATACATTCGCCATGTCTTGTTCAATACGCAGGAGGCAGCAATAAAATAAAAGGTCAACTGGCCAGCTAAAAATTAAAAACCGTCTGTTCCAAAAGAGCAGACACCCGGCGATGCCCGTTTAAGGTGAATCCGTCGAAGAGAACATTTCTCTTCCGGGTGGTACATTGTTCTAGTGATCATAAACCAAACGACTCTAAATGGCTGTTTCAATGATCCTTTGTAACCAAGATACGACCGGTCTCCACTGCAAACAGTACAACCGGTCATTTCCGCAAAGCGGTACCCCCAGGCTTTATTTCAAAGAAATTCAGCAGGTACCCCAGTAGGAAAATACAGCCGCATATACTACCAAACAGTACAGACGGCATGCGAAATCTTGGTCATGCCATAACCATCTTTTATACAAAGGCACCTCAAACGGTTATGCCACTGAACCTAGCAAGGTCCAAACCTTGGTGTTCAGCAGATGACTGACATACAGCCGGCCAAATAACCGGCTGCATACAAGCATGGAAAAACGGGGTGCTTTACGAGCACACCCCGGCCGGTTAGTAATACGATCAGTTCGCTTCAAGCAATTTAGCTCCGCTTTTCGACCTAACTGGGTGCGTGTATGTACGCCTGCCTGTTAACCTTTTGAAGATAACAGCCAGCCATCTAGGGGCAAACTCAGTAACCCCACCCGGTATATATGGGAAGTCAGGCGTCATTATACTTGAAATTTTTTTCGAAAAAATAGAAAAACTTGCAAAGCCGACACAGTCGGCAAAATATAATTCAACTAATACTCAAAAATTAAAATCGTTATACTGTTAACCGGATCCCCATTCGGTGAAAATACAAAGAAATACGCGGCATGCAGGCCGGGAGGTAATTGCTACTCTATCTGAACTGTGACGCGTTCAGCCGGATTCTAGGTAACAGGCGTTTGAGTCTGCTCCAGCTGGGTCTGAGTGGCAGCGGCCACGGAGACGGGAACTTCAGCATTTTCCTCGGTCTCCTCCTCCTCTTCAGCCGCCTCAGCCTGCATTCTCTCTATCTCCTTCCTTGCCCAGTCCTCATAGGGCTCAGGTCCCAGCTGACCCTGCTCTTGCGCAATAATGGCAAGATTTGCGTATCGATAGGCGAGCTCCCACGTAGTATAGTCCGCATCTGGATGAATAAGGTAGAACGCCTTCCTCATGCGGTTCTCACTGTCTTGCTCATTCTCCTCAATGAGCCGACTCTATTTCGCCTAAAGGGTTGTCTCGAAGTTTTTCTGAGAATTGGCAGTCTCCTTCTTCAGACGGTCATTCTCCTTCTTCAGGCGTTCGCTATCTTTTTCCGCCTTATCCAGGCGCTTGAGGGCTTCCTTGTTCTCATGCACCTCCTTCTCGGCATTATCCAGCGACGCCTGAAGATTGTCCATCTTAACCTTGGACTCATTGAGGGCCTTTTGAAGGAACTTAACCTGGTCCGCCTGTTGCATAATTATAGATTTAGTATCTAAGTCATGCAGAATCATTGAATACTAAGCTACATTATGGGCGTCATTGGCGTCCCGTTTGGCTCTTCTTACCTCCTCTTGCTTGTGTGCATAGGCCTTCTTCAGCCCCTCAACACGCAACAACAACTGCGAAGACACAGCCGATGTTAGAAAATCCCGGATGAGTATGAGACTAGTGTTAAAAAAAAGAGGGAGGCGGATGTAGAAGAATACCTCAGCCAGATTGACCATCACACGGTCAACATTGAAGGCGTTGATCCTAGGGATCGCTTCCTTCTCGTCCCTAGGGACGGCTTTCAGCATGGCCCGGGCGTATTGTGTCCCCATCCGGTATCGTGGGCATTTTACATTTTTGCCT